GAGTTGAAATATGCTCATGACTAATTTAGCAAAAACAATGATCAATTTTAGGGCTTGATTCTCAGCACCACATAAAAATAAAATAAAGATGTTGTGTCCACCTAAAAAAAAAAAAAGCTAGACGGAGGCTGGGGCTGTGGCTCAGTGGTAGAGCGCTTGCTTGGCACATGTGAGATGCTGGGTTCCAGCCTCAGCACCACATAAAAATAAATAAATAACATATAGGTATTGTGTCCATCTACAACTAAAAATATAAAAAAACAAAAACAAGACTGCTGGTTTCAGTTGCTTGTTTTCTGCTGTAGGAAGGCAACTTGAGCAGCAGGTTGAGCTCCGGGCAGCTGCGGGAGCACAGGGTGGGGTGGGGAGTGGGGGGGGGCGCTGCAGGTGTGAGGTGGAGCCCTGCTCACCAGGCAACCCAGGGAAGCAGGCCAGACCTCCGCCTCCTGCCTTCCCTGGTGCCCAGGTCTTGCCCTCCCAGGGTTCTGAGTATATCTCCCTTCTCTTATTCTTCAGGTTCTTCTCGGTATCTTATTTGTGTGTGTTTCTGTGTCTTTTTTTCTGCCTCTCTTCCTACCTCTCTGCTTCTCTCCTGTCTCCTTACCATCTCTCTCAATCCCTACTTTGTCTTTCCCCATTAACTGATCTAAAGAGATCTGACTAGTATGTATTTGTTTCATGTATTGAACCGTTTTTGCGTTTTCTGCATCATACAGAAGTGGACAGGTGAATGGAATTTTTCTAATCATCTGGAAAACAAATATATAATGGGTTTTTAAAAATTATTACCCTTGATTGATTTTTACCACTGCCTCTCCACCCCCCCCCCCCGAAAAAAAAGCCTTAGAAATCAGGGCCAGCAATAGAATAAAAGCCCCACCCTAGGGCTCCTAGCCTAGAGCCGGAGAGGACCTGTGGCAGTTGCCAATGCAGGGGGAGGGGGGATAAGCATGGCGGTGGAGCATGCGGGGTGTGGGCGCCACCTGGGAGGGTGAAATGGAGATCCCAGTCAGCAGCCACTGTCTCATGGCACCAGGCCTTTCCGCCACTGAACTCTGCCACTCTCCAGCCTTTGCCCTTTTCCTCCCAAATGAACTACTCCCATCCCAACCGAACCTGAGCTTCCCCCCAGGGGGGTGTGACCCCTCCACACCTTTGCTCCTAGAGACCCCTCTGCCTGGCATGCCTCGGCCACCCCCGGCTCTGTTCACCTGGTCAACACCTACCCATCCGCTGAAGTCCTTCCTGATCCACAGAACCAGCTAGAACGGATTCCTCCTTCATGCCCCATTGTGATCAGAGGCAGAGTCTCAGTCATCCTGCTTCCCTAGTGCCCAGCACGGTGCCTGGCACACACAAGGTATCCAATCAATACATGTTGAAAATGAAGAGAATGAAGTCTTTTGTCTCCCACTTTACCAGAAGGATAACAAAGTGAGAAAACTTGGCCCTAGCACTGAGTTTCTCCCCTGGTCCCCCACCCACCTTCCTATCCCCAGACCTGCTCACCTGCATACTCTGCACCCCCTGCACCCCCATATCCCACCACCCTCCGAGGCGCCCTCTGCCACAAAGCCTTCCACGACTCCCAACCCCCAGAGGAAGAAAGCTGTCCTTCATCTGAGCTCCCAACTACCTGATCTGTCGTGACCTCTTTTGGGCCTCTCTGGTGGCTTTTCGGCACCCCCACGATAGGCATACACGACTGCAGTCCCCGTGCCCAAATGGAAAGCCAGCCCCTGGAGGTGAACCCTCTAGAATGACCATAGATTAAATGAGCAAGTGAAGACAAGCCTGCCATCCCTTGCAAGGAGAAAGGCCAGAACCAGCATTGCTCCTGGTTCCTCACAGGGAGGGCTGCAGTCGGAGCCCAGCCTCCCAGCACAGCAAGGCTGGGCGGGGCGCAGGGGTCACTCATCCGGAGACAGGGGATCAAAACATTACGCTACCTTTTAGGCCAGTGCGTCTCCCGGTCCATCTTCGCCTTTCCCAACACTTAGTCTGACTGCTTGCAATTAGTATCTGAGGCAATCTAAAAGAGTCAAGCTGCATTATGGAGTCGCCCAGGACAACTGCAGGGCACAGCTCGTGGAGAGGGGCTCAAATGCCAAAGGTTGCTTCCTTCACCTACTCAGCTGGGCCTCACCAAGGAAATAAGATCAAGAAAGTGGTGTTCGTCTTTAGCATTTATTTATAATTGGAAAAACTGTTCGGTTGTCTGTTTTCTGAGCAAGCACAGACCACAAGCACGTCACAATCAATTGGCTATACATGAATATTTTTGTCATTCTCTTACTAACAGCGGGAATGAAATAGCACCAAGAGAGGTGTGCGCTACACGTTACATAGACAATCTGTGGTATGCAACAAAACCCAGGCCACAAAATCGCAATTAGACACTTCCTGTCTGCCTCAGTGAGGCACAGCTATATGGGCTGATCGGGATCCTGGGCAGAGAAGACAGAGCTGGGGAAGCCAGCGCACAGCTCTGCGGAGATTTCTGCAGGCGGGCCAAGCAGACAAGGGCCAAGTCTCTGTCCCAGCCCTCTTGCTGGGGGTAGGAGCAGCAACCACAGAGAAATGTATGCAAATGAGCAGGACAGGCATTGGAAGCTCGGTCACCTCCAGAAAGGCAACACCAAACACTGCTTGAGGAACCAAAATCAGTTTCGTTCAGTACGTTCAGGATATAGAACGAGACTGGCTGAGTTTTATTTGTAAACAGTAGAAATCAAAGGAAATTTCTTGCCAGGAAAGTGACACATTCAAGAGTCAAAGTGAACCACAGAGTTTTCTCAGGTGGGTGTGTGACAAAGAAGGGGGCACTGACAGGTTGAAAAGGAGATTATACTGTCATCTAAAGCCTTGGGCAGGGCAGGGTAGGAGTTGCAGTCCCTGGGGCTGCAAAATGGTTGCAAAAGCCTGTGAGGCCCTTGAAGCAAACCCTGACTTGGGCAACACCAACTTGGCTCAGCCACTATACATAGGGGACCATCAGGTGCATTCTTCTGGCTGTGCTGCTGTGGAGACAGATTTATTTATACTGCCTACCGAGTCTAGCACAGTGCTGACACAAGGCATTCGATATGTGAGTGACCCCTGAATGATCCCCTGTGCATCGTAAACTCTGGTTCACTGGATCTGCAAAATGCTCCGTGGAGAAATCCAAGCTGTAGCTAGCATCCACGTGTCTGGCTAATGCTGAAATCTTAAGAGAATGACCAATCTGCAAATTCTCTGGATACAGTTAGATCAAGTTGTTAGAGTTCCCTGGTAAGTTTTATGATTAGCTAACAAGTTGCCGGAAACAGTACAGAGATCTATGCCAGTCACTTCCGGATAGGCATTTAAAATTTGTGATTCATAAGCGCTGGGACTCACCAGCATTTCCTGCCTTCGGCACTTCTCCTTCACAGGCCACGCCCTGAGGGAAAGGAAGGTGGCAGTGGCCTGAACAGACTCTTCTTTCTGGTTTTCCTGTTTTATTAAAACCAGGCCTGCGTAGCACATGCTGTATTAGTTTGCAAAGACCTTCTCAACCAGCCCCGCAACAAACAAAATAGAACACAGACACTTTGCTGCCTGGGCAGTGAGAATAAGAGAGCCCAGGAGCTCTGCTGCTTCTAACCTGGGAGGACCCGGAGGGGCTTCTGAGGTATGGAGCTGGGAGACCTCCACTCTTCTCCTCCAAGACAAAAAGAAGGCACCCGGGCAGAGGCTGCCTGTTGGCCACAGCCCAGCCATTCAGAATGCTGGGGAAGATGGCCTTCTAGGACAGGAGCAATCCACACCTCACATTTGCAAATATATTCTTTCTGGTAGACACTTGGGGTTCCCGCATAAGCACTGGGGATCTTTCACAATGACTCCCTAATTCCTACAACACAACTCTAGCACAGCTATGGTGGCACTCACCTCCCCCGGGGCTTTGGCCACATAGACACGCATCACAGAATACATTGAGAGCTGCTTTTTAAAATTTCCATCAATGAGGTCAAAAAGACCTGCCAGATATTTCACAGGGTCCTCTCCTAGCCTGTGGCTGTGTCACAGAAACACCCGACCTGAAGTTCAGCACTGGCACCGCTGGCCTCTGTGGAGCAGAGCGAGACCCTTCAGTGAGGGAGGGTCAGCACCGCCACGCCTGCCGCTGCGGCATCTCAGGAACTGAAAGCACGCACTAAGTCCTCTCTCCCTCCACCTCAACCCTTCATCCTTAGTCGCCCTCAACCTGTCACTCTGCAACGCTGGCAGCCTGCCGAGGACAAATGGGAAGGCAGCCTCCCACAGCTGTGGCCTTCCTATGACACCTACAACACCTACAACACCCACCCTTTACCACCGCTGGCCTGGTCTCCATCACCAGGAGCCTATCTATCACTTGGTGTACAATTTAAAGCCCACCAGTAGGAAACAAAACACAGGCACACACTTCTAACAGAAGATTCTAGAAGATTAAAGTTAACAGACAACTCCATTCCATTGACATTAAGGCCAAGGTTGTTTTTTCCTTCGTTTTGTTTCTAACATTTCCACAAATGTTGTCAATCATGAAGCATAAGCTGAGCTTCTATAGCACATGATCACCCTCTAAACTTTGGAAAAGAAACTTCATCTAAAGTTCAAAATCAACCAGTTGACACAGAGCTTGGGAGGAGCAGGAGGAAGAGACCCTACAGCAGACATTTCCAAGCCCCACCAGGAGGTGGGCTTGGAGCTGGCTGAGTATGGTCCCCAGGGGGAGGCACGGCCAGTGCACAAGGCTTCCTGGTGTCCCAGGGTCCCGAGGGTGACGCAGGCCACTCTCAGGAGGAGGCGTGGCCCTGTGTGTGAACCAGGGCTCCTCCACTAAAAGAACAAAACCAAAGAGTTCCTGGAACACTCAGGACCAAGGCAGAGGGGAAGTCTCTAATTAATTTTGTGGCCTTTTTGTTTGTTGGTTAAAAAAAAAAAAGAGAGAGAGAGAGAGAAGAATAAAAGGAAAGTGCAGTGACATTTACTCTTTAGCCTCAGCCAGTTTATTGTTCATCTCTTTGCTTTGTTCCTTGTCGTCGGGCTTGGTGGCACTGGGACTCTCCGTGCTCTTTTTCTTGGCAGCCTGGCCCGACGCCACCTGCTTGTCTTTGGCCTTCCTCGGGGGCTTATGGCTCGCTGAGGTCTTTTTTGGTTTGGAACTCTGAACACTAGGTTTCTCCACCTGTATGGAGAGACAGACGGACCGCAAATACAGAAACACAAAGGGAGGGAGTGGGAGAGAGGATTCAGAGAGAAGAAGACATTACAGTATTAATCAAAGGAAAACGGGGAGCAAGTCTGACACGGGAAGCACAGTGGAGGAAGGACTTCCAGTGACACTGGCCTTTTGGTTTCTCTGTCTGAACTCCCTGGTTAGTCTCTATGGCAGCACTCTCTCTGGCTGCATGGACTCACTATCCCCTCCCTAGGTGGCCCCCTCCCCAGATGGCAGGCAGGTCACTGTTATGCTGCATCTGCTGTCCCTCCCTGTGGGAATATTATACCTCATCACCTTGTTCAACTCAGGCACAGGCATATGATTTCCTGTAGTCCTTGAAATGTGAGAAGGGACGTGGGTCACCTCCAGCCAGGACTTGAGAGTCAGCCTGTGCTTCCAATGCTCTCTGAGCCTCTGCCCAGAGCGGGGTGCTCCATCACCCCAGGCCTAGGCTGAAGAGGCATGAGGAGCAGAGCTTCAGCCCACCATGATGGACAGCTACTCGTGCAAGATGAACTTTGGCTGATGTCAGATGCTAGGATCCCAGTGGCTTATTGCTGGGAGTAGCTGGCCTTCCCCTGTTTCTGAGATGGGAACGCACATGGAGAAGTGTTCTTACTGAGATCCTTTGAGCTGGGATGTGTCCAGCCTTACCAGGCCATTGGGGCTGCACGGCCAGCCACATCTCTGATGGGCCACCTCGACAATTTCTCCCAGAGCAGCTGCTCCAAGCCCAATCCACTCTCCCTGGGATCCCTCTCCTAACTCTTCCCCCTTGTTCTGAGGACACAGCCTCCTCTTTCTCAGAGAACTCTGGAGCCACTGAGCATGATGGGTCGATATGCTACTCGGGCCCATTGATTTCTAGATTTAATTTCCCCTATCTTTCCTCCTTCCTCCACTGGAATCTTCTTTTGTTCAATGCCAACCCCATGTCTTGGGTCCCACTGCATCTGTGGGTGAGACATCGACTTGCTGAGTTCCTATGATTTTCAGTCACCCTTGATCTGCCAAGAAGGTAAGCAGTCATCCTGTTTTGTCTGGAATGGAGAGGTTTCCTGAAATGTTTCTGGCAAACTGAGTTGGGTAATTCCTTTACTTATAAAATGGTCCTGGCCACTTAGGAAACTCCACATGAGTACTAGACTTTAGGACAAAAGCAGAGAAAAGACGGTTTGGGTTCTAAAGGTATTTAGGTTGTCAGATGTTTTCTGCTGTCGTATGCAGGAGAGATGATGTGTACCCAATTCCATATGGTCTGACATCACAGAATAAGGCTGCTTGGCATGTGCGATTCCGACTTGCAAGCTCCATCTCCAACCTCCTTCCCTCGCGTATGAATTCACATTGAGATACAAATCAGGTAGGGTAGTGTTGTAAGAAAACTCCCGAATACACTTTCACAAACTGTTTAGGAACTAATGACTGAGAGTGTATCTTGCAGCTGATGTGACAGGTGTGCTGTGACAGTGAACCCTGCTGGTGGATGGCGTGTTATCAAGGGAAGAATGAGAGGGTGGCTGTGTGCACACCTGGGAGGAAAAGAAGGGGCTGGAATGGAATGGGGTGGGGGGAAGGGCCCTGCGGGGGCAGAAGCACAGCTATTTTTAGATGAAGGGATTTACAGCTCAGGTGAGATTGCCTGCTACTTTTTTTCTGAATCTCTCAAATGCAGAAGCTAGTTCTCTGGAATTCTGCCCACCTTTAAGGTGGTTTTTTTTTGTTGTTTTTTGTTGTTGTTGTTTTTAATCTCAGGTAATGGTTCTTTCTAACATCTCCTTATTTTATTTTATTTTTTGCAGTGCTGGGAATGCAATCCAAGGCCTCATACTTGCTAGGCAAGAGCTCTATCACTGAGCTACATCCCCAGCCCTTTTCATTTATTCCTAAGATTTTGAGACAGGATCTCACTAAGTTGTCCAATCAACCTTGAACTTATGACCCTCCCAACCTCAGCCTCTCAATAATAGCTGGGATCACAGGCCCCACAGCTAACATTTCCTTTGAATTTAACAAAGGTTCCTGTTGAAGATGCCTGTGGGTCTCAGTGTGCTAAAAAGGAAAGGAGCCCTTGGGGCCGTCCAGTGTCTGCGGTGCCCACTCCCAAGCTCTGCTCAGTTCACCTTTCCAGTCCAGGCTGTGCTGAAGGGTTCCCCACAAGATCTGTCTCACCTTTGGGGGTTCCTTGAAAGGTTCGCTATAGAGGCTGCGTATTCTTCTGCGATCCATGACCTTATTGTCAGCTGCTGTTGGCTTATTGGCCTCCCCCTTGAACTGGGCGCTGTAGCTGGTCTCATGAGCCATCTTGTCATCTGGGGGCTTGTACTGAGGCTTGGCTTTTATTGGTTTCACAGGCTTGATGTCTGTCCATGCTCTGAATTCATTCCTGTTGGTCAAAGAAAACATAAGTGATAAAAAACACTGGAAGCAGGGCTCCTGACTCGGGCTGCACATAGCAAGCTCTCAATTATTGCTTGTGGCACTGAGCGTGGCTGGAGAGTTAATGCTATTCTTTGATCATGGCAAGTGACAGTTGTCTTTCTTGCCAAGTGGACCCAGGTTGTAGCAATAGCAGTAGTGCTTTAGGGAAAGTGCTTGAGCTCCCTCCTAGTTCCATACTGCAGACAGGCAATTCAAGTCTTCAGACCTCATTTCCCAGTCTCTGAAATGAGGCTGAAAACACCCAGCCCAGGCAGTCATTCAGTTCAACAGATATTGGATGCTGCTATGTGCAAATCTAGAGTTGTGAAATGAGACAATGTATTAGGCTTACTACCAGCTCTAATGTAGCCTACCAATGAATGCCAAATTCCTTCCCCCTTTCTCACAATGAAGAACTTTTGTTCTATAGATTCCTTTTTAAATTTTTTCGTTTTGGGTGGTTTTTTGGTGCTAGGGATCGAACCCAGGCCCTTGTGCATGCAAGACAAGCATTTTACCAACTGAGCTACATTCCTAGTCCCCCTTTTTAAATTTTTTTAACAAAGGATTGAACCCAGGGTCATTTAACCAACTGAACCACACCCCCAGCCCTATTTATTTTTTTATTTTGAGACAGTGTCTCACTGAGTTGCTGAAGGCCTCGTTAAGTTGCTGAAGCTGACTTTGAATTTGCAGTCCTCTTGCCTCAGCCTCCCAAGCCACTGGGAGACCTGAGCTTTGGTAGGTAACTATGGTTGGTGCTCGACATTCCTGGGGGCCAGCCCCAGGCCTGTGTGTAGAGCCACCGGGTTCCTAAGTCTAATCATGACAGCCAACTGAACCTGACGAAGGTGGAGAGAGAGGAGGAGAGGTGAGGAAAGGACCAAAAGAAGCCCTGATGCCTGACGAGGTGGGTGCTGTTGACAGAATCAGGAGGGTCTCAATTCCCATCCCATGCTCCTCCCATGTGCACCACTGTGCCTAGCTGTTCTGTAGAATCTTAAGGGTCTTCCCTTTAAACAGCAGTGCCAGAACCGAAACAACCGAATCAACTTAGATGAAAATTTTGTGAAATGGCTCAGTGTTTATAAGTCTTAAAGAAGCTGCATGCACTGAACGTCATGGGGTATCACAGCTAAGACTTGTGTCTGGGTGTGAATCTAGGAGAGACTCCGTGTGCTCTGGTGTGAACCGCTGCTGGTTGGTCTGTCGGCCTGTCAGCTTTCCTGTTTACAGCAATCCCTCTCTGCCTTTCTGATCTGTCCTAGGGCTGGAGAAGAGATGGCCAACAGTGTTGAAAACAGAGCTGCCCCTGAAGGTGGACGAGGTCCTCCCTGTAAGTGTATGCCATTTACTGCAAAGCTCTGGGCCCTGAGGCCTTGATGGGGTCTGCTTCCTTTGGGGGCCATGAATAAGGAGTAGCTAGTGCAAGAATCTGCAGAGTTGGGTTCTTCCAAGGGCCCCTTCACCCTCACTGACTTCCTTCTCGAGGGTGCAGAGAAAGGGGGCCACAGAAAGACTTTGGTCTGCAGGAGAGAAAAGCCTCTCCCAGGCCTCTCCCACACTGAACATTGTTTTCTCATTTGTAAAATAAAAGAATTAGGCTAGCCACATCCCAGAATGTCCTTCTAACTCTAATGCTCTCAGCTATTAAAACCAGTTTGGCAACACTAAGCCTCTAGCTGGTGGTTTGACCTCCTGCTCTCTGGATATCTCTAGGACTGGCTCCTATGTGAAGAGAGGGGCTGCTACCTCTAAGTTTCCAGTGCAGCCTGGGCCACCACCTAGATGCCCAACCAACACCTCCGACTCAGTGTCCCTAAATCCCAACCGTCTGGTCTTCCTCGCTGACTTGTCTTCTTCAGGGTTCCCTCGCTGCTCATCTTTGCCCACTCATTCACAAAATATTTCCAGAGTGCTTGCGCTCTCCCTTTCAGGAGGTTGAGAGCTGTGGAGCCTAAACAGGCCAGAACAGTCCCTGGGCATCAGGTGTGGGAGGCAGAGGGACTTGAGGTTGCTCCAGGGAAAGACCCTGAAAGCAATGAAGGAGGAGGGAGTGAGGAGCATGGAGCTCCCACCCCAGCCTGGGAGTCAGGGGGAGCTTTCTGGAGCAGAGTTAGAGTGGCTGGCAGGGGGTTGGCCAAAAGGTGGGTTCCAGACAGATCGAGCAGCATTTCCAGAGGCTCCTGAGTAGCACGGGAGCCTGTGGGCAGTGTGGGTGGCTGGGTTCCCATTTGACGTGGAAGAGCAAGGAGCCTAGTCAGCATGGAGGTCCCGCTGGCCATGCTAAGGGGAGGGTCTGCCTTGTAACATGAAGTTGCCAATGAGTCCCAGCCAAGGGTGAGTATGGCCAGATCCAATTTTGGAAGAGCACTTTGGCAGTGGTGTGCGTGGTGGACTGTGGGAGAGAGTAGAAGTGGGACCCAGCTGGGGGCCGTGTGGAAGTCAGGAGGGATGTGTGGGCCTGAACCAGGAAGTGGCAGAGGGGACCGAAGAAGGACACTGAGTTGAGATGGCAACTGGGCATGAACCGTGGGAAGTGCGGGGCCTGGATGAATCTGGGGAGGTGCAAGAACTTTGGCTTGGGGGTATGCCACTCACCAAGATGGGCAACTGGGAGGAGCATGGGATGGGAACTGAGACCCTCCTGATTCTGTCAACAGCACCCACCTCGTCAGGCATCAGGGCTTCTTTTGGTCCTTTCCTCACCTCTCCTCCTCTCTCTCCACCTTCTTCAGGTTCAGTTGGCTGTCATGATTAGACTTAGGAACCCGGTGGCTCTACACACAGGCCTGGGGCTGGCCCCCAGGAATGCAGAGCACCAGCCATAGTTACCTACCAAAGCTCAGGTCTTCCCACCCTTTAGAGCTGAAGCCCTTTCCATTAGATAAGCCCCTAAGAGTTGGCACTGCCTGTGCCAAACCAGTCCCAACCTATTCTCAGTAGATGATGGCAGAAACCCAGATTCTATGCTTCTACCCCTACCTGCTTCCAGAACTAGGACTGAGATAGGTATGTACTGTCCCTCAGCACATTTCTGGGTCATCTCCCACTGGCCGGCCTCTGCCGCTCCATGCATCTCTGCAGTGGGTGAGCTGGCAAGTGTCTCACTTGTGAACATCATCCATGGGACGTGGACCCCACCCATGGAGGGGGTGGGGGAGGGGAGTAGTGACCCTGATCTTGAACAAATTTGGTACATCAGATGAGACCTTGTTAATGCATCCCATGATAGGTCCACTGTAGTTATGACAGACTGTCAGGTTTAAGCCCAAACTCCATTTCTTAGAACTTTCTTCAAATTCTCCTTAAAACCTCCTCCAGCCACATGCAACAACTAGTCATATGTCATAAAAATAAAGTTAGGGGGCTGGGGCTGTAGCTCAGTGTAAAGCACTTGCCTAGCATGTGTGAGTTCGATCCTCAGCACCACATAAAAATAAATAAAGGCATTGTGTCCATATACGACTAAAAAATAAATTAAAAAAATAAAATTAGGCTGGGTGCAGTGGCGCACACCTGTAATCCCAGAACTCAGGAGGCTGGGGCAGGAGGATGGCAAGTTCAAAGCCAGTATCAGCAAAAGTGAGGCACTAAGCAACTCAGTGAGACCTTATCTCTAAATAAAATACAAAATAGGGCTGGGGATGTGGCTCAATGGTAGAATTCAATCCCTGGTACCTAAAGTAAACAAGTAAATAAAGTTAGTATTTCTTATTATCTTTTATAAACGGAAGGGTTTTGGTTTTGATATTCTCTGTAATTCTTACAGTTTTGAAGAGGAACTAGTCTTAAACCCCTTAATAAAAGAGATAAAACAAGTCTCAGAGAGGTTAAGTTGCTTGCCTAAGGCCACACAGCTGGTAAATAGCAGAGCTGGATGTGAAGGCAGGTTGGTCAACTCTACAGCCCACACGCTCCCATTGCATGTTGGGAGTATGCTAGAACAACCGTGCTCACCTGTCTGCAGCAAAGGTGCTTGTTCAGTGCCTAGCCTGCTGTCCACATTGCTATGGAGGGTGGGATGACACAGGCTGGGCGAGGTGACTCCTGAGCTCCTCCAGCCCTGAGAGTCTTGACCAAGACCATGTGGACCCCACTCACAGGTGAGTTATGCCTAGTGCCTCTTGCCGAGAGTTCGTGTCCCTTGCACCACAGCCCCCTTTGCCTATATAACCACATTTATACCCCATCATTCATTTATTCATTCATCCATTCATTTGGCATTTGCCAAACACCAGTCATGGGCGTGGCACGTGTCCCACAGGGATGAGTAAGCCGCGGTTGGCGTCTATCACTTAGTGAGTCAGGACCTGTCCATGTGTGATCCTAAAAAAGGCAGAAGGAAGCAAATGGAGCAGAGCTCAGAAGGAGAGAGGAAGAAGAATGCTTAATTCTGAAGGGCGACGAAGACCGGGGAGAAGAGCACTGAAGGTAAAGGTGAAGGAGTAGACGTGGGGGGTTCGCGAACCAGTCTGGGTCTGCATGGCAAGTTCAGAGAGCAAACAGATGGGGGGCTGCTCAGGATGTGGGGGGTAGGGGTCTTCCTCAAGGTGACCAGGTGAGGGCCTGGAATGCCTTGTGTGGATGTAGGTGGAAGGCCCGGGGAGCCACTGAGGGTTTCTGGGCAAGGCAGCACTGTTTCTCTAGGGATGGTGTCCTATTATCAGAAGCCCCCGTTGTAATGATTCTTTCAGGCCCAGCTCAGGGTTCTCCTCTTCCAGGAAGCCTTCCTGGGTTACTCAACCCAAAGATTCCCACCCTCTTGGCTCCTGGTTCATCGACTCTACCGGCTAACTTTGTGGTTACTATGCAACTGCATGTCATTCTTTAATTCTTTCATGAGTTCATTTCATCTTTTTTTTTTTTTTTGAATTTTTAAATTTTTTTTTATTTTTTAGTTTTCAGCAGACACAACATCATTGTTTGTATGTGGTGCTGAGGATCGAACCCGGGCCGCACGCATGCCAGGTGGGCGCGCTACCGCTTGAGCCACATCCCCAGCCCCATTCATTTCATCTTTTTAAAGGATAAGATACTTAGTAGAAAATCCAGAACAGAATCCTACTTTGGGGTCCAACCTCCCTTGCATGGCTATGAAGAGAGGTCCTTCTGAATCAGACTGCAGAGAGATAGAGCTGGGCTGGACTGGGCCCCCCTTCCTGCCTGTCCTGCCAGGCCTCTTCCCATGGCACGGGCTGCCATGCAGGCTTTCTTACGTGTTCAGAGGTTTGAAAGGCTTGGCATTCAGTGGGCAGTGAATGGAAGTAGCTATTGTCTTCTTTCCTCTCTGTTCAGGTAATGTCACCTCCTCCTGAGCTCTTTGTGGGGCAGACACTTGTTCTTTGGTGGCATACCAATGCCTCACTCTGAAACCTATGACCCTTCCACCATCCAACACCTGGAGGCTGACATGTAGCCCAGGTTTGTCTTAGGGTCCTTTAGACTCATGGCCACCTTAACTCTCTGCGACAATCACAAGAAAGAACTTCCTTTCAGCCAGTCTGGATGCACACCACAGGGAGGCTCTAGGCATATCAGGAGGGCCCCATATCTGCAGGCTGCTAATGCTGGCATCCTAGAGATGTTCCTCATGCCAAGCTTTCTTGTATCACGGTGTGTGAAGCCACTAGGATGTTTTGGTCTCTAACTGCATGACCAAAGGCCCACTGTCCCCTCCACAACAGATCCACGGCTGGATCCTGCTGTCTGTGGCTTGATGCCTGATTTATTTCCTACATGATCCTGCAGGGACAGAGGAGGGTCCCCAGTGGATGAGCACTGCAGACTCCTCAATGGCTCATGTGTCCTGAGAAAATCTGTGGTGATACTCCAGGATGAGGTGCAAGCTCTGGCTCCTTCTAGTTCCCCCATGCTATGATTCCTCAGGATGGCATGCAGAGCTTTGTGAGTTGGCCCCATGTTACTCTTCCAGCCTTCTTTATCTCTGTCAGTCATTTAGTGGGCATTTTCTGTGTGCCAGGTGCTGGGCAGAGTTCTAGATGCATCATCTTACCTAATTCTCGCACCAGCACTTTTTGGTAGCTGCATGTCATCCATTTTGCTGGAAAGAACACTGCATGCTGCTGCCCTTCCCTACCACTGAGTGTCACTCATGCTGCTTCTGGACCTGCCATGCTCTCTTCTCCACACCTCCACTACTGAAACACAATGCCACCTGCCTCCTGTGCTCTTCCCTCCAGGGGTTTCCCCCAATCCCTGGGCTGAAATCAGCCCCCCTGGCTGCATTAGGCATCCTTCTCTGGCCTGCTTCTATCTGTGGCACTTGCCATGTTCTAGCTCCCAGAAGGTCACCTGAGTCATCTTCTTTCCCTCCATTCCTTGCAGTTGCTGAGGGTAAGGCCTCCACTTGACTCACGGCACTAAAGCCTGCTCCTTGTGTAATTCTAGTTCATTGTTTATTGTAAATGCTAGGGCTTTTCAAATTAGAAATGAAAGATTGGCCTCCGTTCTGTTCTTTCACAACTCTTTCTTTCCCAAGTAATCCTCCCCATGCTAGGACAGGGATGCTGCTTCTGGACCTTCTGAATGCTGCTTCTCTCTCCTCTGAATGTCTGAACAGGAAGCCCCTGGGCCACCCCAGGGGGACAGTGGAAAATTGCTACACAAGCATATCATGGCATCACTTCCTACAGTATGTCCTGAGCTCTTTGGCACTCCTACCTTAGATCTTGATGTCCTCCCCTGGATGAGGTTAGAGTTGGTGACTCACTCTAACAAACAGAATATGGCAGAATTGGGGCACATAACTTCTAAGAGTGGGCCATTTAAGGCATTATAGGCTTGTCCTTGTCTTCTCTCAGGGGACAGCAAGCTGTGAAAGGTCCATGTAGGGAGGGACTGAGGCCTCCTGCCAAAAGCCATGGAAGTGAGCAATCTTAGAAGAGGACTAGGCTCAGGCAAGCCTTCATGTGATCTCATGAGAGACCCTGAGCTCCACCCACCCTGACAAGCCATTCCTGATCTCTGAACTTCAGAAATTGTATGGGATAATAAATACTTATTGTAAGAAGTTGCTAAATTTTGAAGCAATTTGTTATACAGCAATAGATTCAAATGCAAACCCCAATCCCAAATTTTTCTTCCCAAAAGGGGTTTAAAATCCTCTTGTTTTACCTCAGCAAGGCAGAAAGCAATGGTGTGAGCCCAGCACTGAAGTTCAAGCACTCAGGAGAGCTGTGGCATCAAGTTCATGGAGAGAGGTCATGCTCTGGTCCTAAAAAACCAAGGTGAACAGTCTGCAGCCTTCATTAGAAGGTAGCAAAGCCTCCTGGGCCGGAAAACCAAAGATGCACTGCCTTGGGCCCAGGGCGTGTGCAGAAACAGAGACATGGGCCTCAGGAGAACACGGTATCTTGGAACACAGCATGTGCCAGGCTCAATGAGATGCAGGGAGACTAACAAGGTGAGGGGAGGCCCTGAGCCTGGGCCAGAGAAGAGATAAAAACGTGGCTCCTCAAAAGACACAAACGTGGCTCTAACCCACCTCTAACTGCTGGGCCATTTGTGAAGGATTGACATGAGCCCTGTACAAGATCCATGTGGAGATTAAGTGAGAAAGTATGTAAAAGAGCTCTTTAGTTGAAGAGGGGCTGGATATTCATACCAGAATTGCAAGTTTGGGGTGAATAACTGTTTAATAAATGCATTTGATTTTCATTACAGAGTTGTTTATTCAAGAAAAATTATTGCCGATCCTCTGTGTTCCAGGCATGGCTGCAGTCCTCTACCTCCACAAGCCTTGCTGACAGCTGGGGAAAGAAACATAGACAATTACATGCTGGTCCAACTATCATGATATTTCTGACCACTTGCAGTCAATATTCTCATGCCCAGAGTGGGCAAAATTTAGACAGGAGCTTCCAACACCAGGCTTACTACTGAGCATATTTCCTGTTAGACTTGAACAGAGTAGCATTCAACGAATGCCTGATTCACGGAATCTTCAATACTGAGTATCCACTATAATAAACAGATGTTCACTTTTTAAAGACTTGTCCCACTTAAGCACATTTGCATGCAGTGACTCAAGGGGGAGAGAGTGAAAGAGCAATTATAGAGGGAGAGACCAAAGACAGCAGAGAGAGCCATCACTGAGGAAACTAGGTCCCAGAGGAGGAGGAAGGGAGGAGAGAAGGTTTGGTCTTGGAAAGAAAGAGTCGTGAAAGAAGAGAATGGAGGCCATCCTTTCATTTCTAATGTGAAAAAGGCTGACATTTACAAGAAAAATGAAATAGAATTACACAAGGAACAAGTTCTACTGCTGTGAATAGCTGCATGTGTTAATTGGTACAAATCACTTCTTGACAAAAGTGGAGACTTAGAATAATGGATTACTGCCAACTAGGACCACATAAAAATTTCATTTCTCTTCCCCAAAGCCCCAGATTTATTTATTATGTATCTAAATCCTTGGGAAATCAAATTCTTTCCCTATCCTCTTCACAATAAAAATTTCAACATTTCTTAAGCGCTTTTAGAGGGAAGAAGGCAGAGCTTTAAAGCCTTAATGGCCTAAAATCTTCCTACAGATTTTCATGGGTAATTTATGTTGTCATGGAAACGTATCAAGTCTCTGTTCAAAAATCTTGTCTACACTAGTTATATTAGAGTGAAAGAAAGCAGGCTCCATGCTGAACTCTGATACAGGCAGTCTGTGAACGCAGTCAGTTGCCAAGCTATAGTCAGGAGATAGTGGTTAAAGGAAGCAGGATCAGTAGATTAAAAGAAAAGACCATCCTTGAACCTAGAGGGTTGCCAAGTGGCTGAGAGAACATTTTCTCCCCATTTTGAAGGGTGTGGAAGATGCTTCCTCCTAGCCAGAAATGCCTGGGTCAAGAGAGGATCTCTGGGATCTACACATGTGTGTTTGCTTGCTTGTCTCTCAGTTGCATTTGTGTGAATGGGAGAAGCATCAAGAGAATGCCAGCACGCTAATCAGTAATGATTGTTCTTCTTATACATTAATATCCAGTAAATACATGTATTTACTGGATGTGATGGCACTCCAAAATGAGTAAAGCATATGTTGGGCATATAAAAGGGCAGTATATAAAGTCTGAAGCTGATCTCACATGAATAGAAGATAAGCAGAAAAAAATCTTTCTCTCCTTAGAAGGATCTGATGTGGCTAACAGTTAGAATGGGAAGTGTCAGGGCTTGGGTCCCCTGATTAAGTAAATGGCTCCTTCTACATGTAGCTAATATCTACGTCAAGTCATAGGCTGCCTGCAGCTCCCAGGCCTCTGTGCACCTGGGAAAGTGTCTCACACAAAGAAAGCCCATGTGTGCAGTATGGATATTATTATGAAGATGGATAGTAAAAAACTAAAACTGCTCAAACTAGGAGTTAATTTGACTCATCAGGAATCTAAAAACAAGGTACTAGAACAATGAGTGAGTTTAGCAAGGCTTCTGGATACCAGATTGATATACAAAAATCAATTATATTTCTGTATAATATACTAGGAACAGACAATGAGAAAATAAAAAATTTAAAAATCCATTCACAATACCATTAAGAAAAATAAAATACTTATGAGTAAATTTAATGAAAGAAGTGCAACACCTGTGCACTTCAAACTCCATGACATCCCTGAGAGAAACTGAAGAGGTAATTATAAATATACATGCCATGCTCATAGCTTGGAAGATTCAATATTGTTAAGATGGCAATTATCTAGAAGTTGATAAAATCTATAAATGTAAAGCAATTCTATTAATATCTCAGCAGGATTCTTTGAATAAAATGACAAGTTGATCTTAAAATGTCTATGGAAATGAAAAAGAAATTGCCAAAATAATATTGAAAAAGAGAAACAAAATCTGAAGATTTATACCACCTGATTTCAAAGCTTATAAAAGCTATAGTAATCAATTATGTTACTGGCCTAAGCATTGACACACAGATGTATGAACAGAAAACAGAGTTCAGAGATGGATCTTTGTATATAGTAGTGAGCTGAATCTGACTCATACTGGTTTACAGAACTGATTATTAAATTCTCAGGAATTTAGTGAGTGGATTTTGAAACTAATAGTAGCTTTGAAAGATACCATGCAAGAGTATGACATCAGGAAATTGGCCAACTCTACACATAAAGTTCTTCTAGATAATAGCTATTAAACACTTAAATCATACCACTGGCTTACATACATGACCAATTTACCTTTGACAAATGTGCTAAGATAATTCATTGGGGAAAAGAGTAAACTTTTCAACAAATGGTGCTGGGAAAACTAGATATCCATATGAAAAGAAAATGAGTCTCTGCTTTACCTTACCTCATACATAAAAAATAATTAAAAATGAACTATAGACTATAAAATTTCCATAAAACTTCCCAAAGAAAACAGGAAAAATCATTTTGGTCTTGGAATAGGCAAAGATTTCTTAGAATTTGAAACTCAAACAGGACATAAGAAAAAAAAAAGATAAAGTTTATTAAAATGAAACTTTCACTTTTCAAAAGACATCATTAAGACAATAAAAAGATAAGCACCATAGTTTAAGACACACACCTCTTAGACATATTAGATATATATCTTAGACATACATAATATATGTCCTTTATTAGACATAAAGGACTTATGTCCAGAATACTTTTATAAAGATCTCCTAAAACTCAATAGTAAGACAAACAACCCAACTTGAAAACAGGAAAAATATTAATAGACAATTCACTAAAGAAGATACACAAAAGTCAAATAGCATATGGAAATATGCTCAAAATTATTAATAATTAAGAAAATACAAATTAAAACCACAGTTAGATACCACTACACATCCACTAAAATGGCTATTATGAACACTGGCAATACCAAAAGTCACCAAGAATGTGGAACAACTGGGTCTCTCATACATTTCTGGTGGGAATGGTCAATGGAATAGGACTTTGAAAAAAATTATTTCTATGATAACCACATATTTACCATATGACCCAGCAATTCTACTCTTAAGTATCAAGGAGAAATGAAAACTCACATCTGCTAATAACTTGTACATGGATTTTAACAGCAGCATTATTCATAGTCTCCCAAAAGCTGAAACAACCCAAATGTTCAACTAATGCACAAATACACAAAATGGGTATATCCACACAATACAGTACTACACAGCAATAAAAAGAAGCAAATCAACAGAGTTAACCCTAAATAATAATATGCTAAATGAAATAAGCCTGAGAGAAAATAATTGGTGTCATATAATTTCATTTATATGAAATTTCTAGAAAAGGCAAAATGTAGAAATAGAAAGATCAGTAGCAGCCTGGGGCTGGGATTGAGAGGGGGCAATCTAAAACTGTCTTTTGAAGATAGCTACACCAGTGCATAAACTTTCTAAATCTCATTAAAATGTACACTGACAAGGAATGAGTTTTATGTTATATAAATTATATCTGAATAAAACTGGCTTCAAATTCAGCTGGAATGTCTCCTTTCCTGACATTGCTCCCTCTCCTTCTAAGAAGATGATCCTTGCTTCCTTTGATGCCTGGGCCTTCTACCAGATTCTCTGCCTGACCTCCCATGCTGTGCTTTTAGGTATTTGTCCCCAAGCCCATCTGTGCGGCCTGGGGGGTGGGGCAGAGAAGGTGTCAGATCCACGTCCATGTCCCTGGTGCCTGGTTTGGAAGTTGGCACATTTCAGCATGCTCCCGACCAGTGTTGCTGAACAAATGACTCGGCACCCTCCTTTTTACCTCTTCATTGTAAAAATGACAAGTAGCAATTAGTTCATCGTTCACTTTTCTTTTCCTTATTTGTAAGAATTCTCTACTGTAGATAAAAACAAAAGACAGTAATTCTCTGTGACTATGTTTCCCAGTTTGTTTTTTGCCTCAAATCTCTATATAAACCTTAAATTTGGATGTGGTTTGCTCTTCTTCCTTTATCATGTCTACTCTTGAGGTTACACTTTAAAATTCCTTTCCTACTCCACAGTAGTATCAATATTTATTTAAGATTTTCCCTTTCACGTTTATGTATTTAATTTACATTTAAATCTTTAAACCATTGGGAATTACCACTACTTTCATGTAGACTGGCAAAGAAGAAGAAGCATAAGGGTACCCCCTATTGGCAAAGAGATGGGGAAATGTAGGCTGGTCCAACCCAGGGGCAGTCTGCAGCTCCAGGGCTCTGCACAGTGTCTGGTACATCCTAGGTACAGGATGTTTACTGAATGTGTGAATTAGTGAATGACACCTTTTACATCGATAACCTTTGATCTGGCAATTTCATTTCCAGAAATTTGTTACAAATTTGGACAAGACAGCATTTTTAAACATATTATAAACTCTTGGTTATCATTTTGTGTGAAGGTCTCAAATCATACCTTTGTTTATAAATATGAATGAATTCTAAGCCTGATGGTCTGGGGCATGAATATATATCAGAAATGATTAAATAATATTGAGTGTAAAAACATTAAATAGATGATCTCCACAATGCCATTTTCATTGCATTAAATATCACTTTTGGTTCTTGTTCCTAATGATTCACTGGAGCTTATCCCCATTAAATCCTGCCTCCAGCTGCTCCCCCTGCCCCTCAGCTCATCTGAAGTGATGTCCCCCTGGGGTACATTGATTGTGGGGCAGGCAGTCTGGTGAGTGAATTATGGACTTCCCTTACCAGATGCAACTAAATTTTCATAGCTCCTTATTTTTCTTCTTCTATTGCAACTTAACTCCCAGCAAGTTTCAGCACCCTGCTAGCTCTAGGAGAAGTAACAGACATGCTCAGAGGT